TTATTTATTTTTTGTTTAAATATATATATATTTATTTATTTACTTATTTATGTATACGTCTTTGTTATCTTTTAGGAGGTGGGGGGGGGGGGGGGGGTAAACTCTGAAATAAAGTAGCTCTGATTGAATAATTAATTATTTCGTCTGTTAGATCTAGTGGCTTCGTCGTGAATTCTAGTCTGTTCTCGTAATGGCTCTTGAAAAATACAGTCAAATAGTTCTAGATCTATTGTCAGTTGCCAGTGATCACGCTAGTGTTTGTGTATCTAATATAATACTGTTTTTGTTAAAGAGGATTCTTAGCATGCATTTGTGGTGTTCGTTGTGGATATAATTCTTTTGGGTATAATTCTTGTGGGTATGATTCGTGTGGATATAATTTTGTGGATATAATTTTGTGGATATAATACGCTTTGGCGGATCCTTGCATGTTAACCAACCCCTGAACCAGCGACAACAAGACACTCCCAGGCGATATTCATCTGTTCACAGTGAGTACACAATTTTACATCACTTCTGTTCACAGTGAGTACACAATTTTACATCACTTCTGTTCACAGTGAGTACACAATTTTACATCACTTCTGTTCACAGTGAGTACTATAGGTTTACCTCACTTCTGTTCACAGTGAGTACTATATGTTTACATCACTTCTGTTCACAGTGAGTACTATATGTTTACATCACTTCTGTTCACAGTGAGTACACAATTTTACATCACTTCTGTTCACAGTGAGTACTATAGGTTTACCTCACTTCTGTTCACAGTGAGTACTATATGTTTACATCACTTCTGTTCACAGTGAGTACTATAGGTTTACCTCACTTCTGTTCACAGTGAGTACTATATGTTTACATCACTTCTGTTCACAGTGAGTACTATATGTTTACATCACTTCTGTTCACAGTGAGTACTATAGTTTTACATCACTTCTGTTCACAGTGAGTACTATAGGTTGACATCACTTCTGTTCACAGTGAGTACTATAGGTTGACATCACTTCTGTTCACAGTGAGTACCGTAGTATAGGTTTACATCACTTCTGTTCACAGTGAGTACTATAGGTTAAATCCGATAAGTGTGTCTGTTTCTTTTTCTTCAATAGGACACACACGTCAACACCCCCAGAAGATAACTACCCCCCGCCCCCTTTCCCAACTTATACAGAGTCTTCATTTGTGTATATACATGAATACTATGTATATACATAGATAACGTTCTGAAGCTGCAAAAGTCTGGATTACTATAGAATATTCAAAAGTATTGTAGGCTTATAAAATACTAAGTCCCAACACTCGACATAAATTTTAATATGTATATTATCACAGTGCGGTCAAACATTCTTGGAGCAACTTATCCTCAATTTTTAATATATATATTTCTTCTTCAGCTGCCCAAAACATTAATTATCTATACGAATGACTCATGCGGGTTTTTTGGGGTATTATCACAACACAGTCTAAGATGCCCATCTGTGTAAGACAATCATCTGTACAAAACGTCTTCTTCCCACTTTACACGAGTTTTCCTCACTTTACCCAGGTGGGAATGGGTACCTGGCCATAGACAGCGAAAGATCATGTCAGTATGTTAATGTTTTAGCGCCTATAAATGGCAGCTTGCACTGTGGGCTTCCGAAGAAGTTGAGAATGTTGAAGAATTCTCTCAGGTCTGCTGGGGTAATAACGAATAGAGCTTGCTGTTGAGCTGGAATTTGCGCTATACAAATTATGTTATCTGTTGTTATTTATATTATTATTATTATTATTATTATTATTATTATTATTATTATTATTATTGTTATTATTATTATTATAACTTTTACTATATAACTATTATTATGTTTTTAAAGAACAACCAACTAGTGACACCTCAAATTTTCCGCACTAACAATACTTATTTGTGTTGCGAGGGGCGTAGCATGACAACAACAAACAAACAAAAAAACTACAAAAAAACCCAAACAACTAGACCAAACAAAATCAGAACAGGACGTAATGATATAACAGAAAGCTGAAAAACCATAATACAATATTATTATTTTTTTCTATTTATTTAATTTAAACACAGTTTTTAACAACAGTGAGTACGAAGCACATCGAATAGCAACAGATTTTAGTTTTAGTAAGAGTTTTACGGCACTTGCAACACAATAGGGTCATAATAATAGAAGTGCTGAAGATTAGAGGTTTTACAAGAGAGTAACAAACACAAAAATAAAAGGAGGGGAGACAAAGACGATAGATGTTTGATAGGAAAGAAGAAGCAAACAACAACTGGGCACTCGCGAACCACCCACATCGAGTAGCAGATATATCGGTCAAACAACATATTCTCTCTCTCTCTCTCTCGCCCTTTTTAACTCCCAGTGGAGCACAGGCCATCAACAGCATTACTCCAGCAAAGCCTGTCCTGAGCATCCTTTTCTATCTGTTTCCATGATGTCCCCGCTTTTTCAATTTCCTTTTGTACCGCTCGCCTCCATGTCATCTTTGGTCT